TGTAGCAATCAAGAGAGGAGAATAAAAAAGTAAGAACTTATTCACATTTAATTAGATGATTAAAGATGAGAATAGACCCTTAAAGTTTAGTTCCTATTGATAAACAAACACAACTCAAGGTGCTTTGGACATGTCTCAGTGCAAATAAGGATGAAGGTTTACAAGTCAATGGGAAAACAAGAAAGGAAACGCTAAACCATAACACTTAACTGCAATAGAAGAAAGAACGGGATAAGGATCTGGGGCCTCATAAAGTTTCTGATAAATGTTAAGGAAAGCATTTTCTCCAAATTTGGCTCTTTTAGTTAGATTATCAACTTCTTCTAGATAGCCCTATAGTAAGGAGTTAAACAAGTTGAGCTTTTCAGTTGATGATGCCTTCTTGAAAAATGTAAAGAGGTAAAATTTGATGAAGTCAGATTCCTTAGGAGAGTAACCGCTCAAAGTACTTTTTTTACGAGAAACATCCAAGTACATAATTACATAGTTCCTACAAAAAGGAAGATTGCAAGATACCTATAGAAACATGTCTCAAGAAAATTACCATACCTCGAGTGTTCTCTGCAAGCTTCCGCCTGTTCTTCTGAATAATCTCCTGGTTTTCAGCAATCCTGAGCCCCTGCTCATCAATAACAGTTCTTTCTTTTTCGGAGTCGAAATCTGCAATTTAAAAGAGTTTTGGTAAAATAAAAATAGTTATGGTGATCAAAGAGCAAAAAGAGAACCATGTAAATAGTTCAATGGACAAATGCAAAGTATGTCTGGATCATCCTTTGAATAAATAAGAAAGTTATAACTATTAAAATATTAGGCTACATATATAGATGGAAGGACAGTAAAGACACTTGTTGAACGTATTGTCGTGCAGTTAATATACTCTTTAAAATTTCAGTATAAAGATGAGTAAAATCTTATGTAATTAGACACGCAATAAAGTTAAGCAGCTGCTACCAACATAAAAAATAAATAAAAGAAGTTCGGTCTATGCTTAGAACAAAAGAAATATTGTCATGCAAATAATAAGGTGGTCAATAAGGCCGAGAGTTGTTTCCGGGAATGTGTATTTGCATTAATATATCAAAAGTGTTATAAAAAAACTATGCATGTATGCATTTATGATATATAAAAAAAAAGATATGTCATCTACAAGTATCATAGAAAGTTTCCTATCATTATACATGCATCAAAACAAAAGAACCACTAAGAGCATGGGTATGCTTAGCACAAATATGAGCGGCCTTGTTACAATGTTGTGGCGCATGGAAAAATAGAAATTTTTAAAGTTTAAAAGAAAAGAAAATTCCAAAGCCACCAAGACTTGTTCGCTTGAAATGTGCATTTTGCATTACTATAACATAAAGGATTACAAAAAGTACAAAAGGGGCCTAACTTGACAAAACATGGGCCCGATCAAAATCAATAAAAGGAAAGAGGAAGCGGGGGGAGTCCACATTCCTCACAAAAAACTATCAAGTAAAGCACTATGGGCACAAACACGTGCAACTCTATTTTTCTTTCTATCTAAATGCTGAAACAATACTTGTTTAAAAGCAGTCAAAAAAGAAATAACTTTATCGTATTGCGGTTTGGTCATCCAAGCCTTACTTGAGCTGGCTTATTGTTTCCAGTAAGAACAAAGAAACCAGTTGTTGTACAATGAAAAATGGTAGATTGAAATGACCAACCAAAGCGAAAGGATCTGGCGGTCGATAACATTATCTTTCATTTGTATTATAATGTATTTTTCACATGACAGACACCTTGATTCAGTTATTTGGGCGATTATTATGACTATTCTCCCTTTTCCGTAACTATATTTTTAAACCTCTATAAGTAAGAGTCAAGACATAAATGAAGGGACTTTTCACACACTCTCTCTATCTCTCGACTCCTACTCTCTTCTCTCCTATCAGCTCTAACTTTCGGGGCATGTATTCTGAAAGACAAGTTACGATTCAACAATGGCATTGCTAACCCATAATTAAAGAGGTGCTTCACCATACACCAAATTTGGGACCGAATTTTTTCCATGCAATGGAGAATAATGATGTTTTTAATTAATATTTGTAGTGTTTCTCGACAAAAAATTACCAATAACCTTAATTAATTATAGTTCTCAAGCATCAATCACCTCATTTAGAATCACCTCATTACTGAGACGTAGTTCAATTTGGTGTTGCAAAAGGCTTAAGATGGACTATTTTGAGTGAGCAAAAGATGTGCTGGTAAGAGAATCCTCTTACTTGGATAAATGCATTCCCAATATAATAGGTGAGTGATTCTCGAATTGCTCCATGATGTTGGGTGAGTCAATTTTCACTTCTCGTATAATTTCTATTTTAGATAAACAAATGTTCCTCTTCCCGCATGTTTGCAATTATGCTCTTTTTTCTTGCCAACATCATAAAGATTAAAATTTATATTTTGAGAGTGAAACACTAAGGAGGCAAAAACCAAAGGGCACCAGAAAATCATCTCTATATATGCAATTCATTGTTTCAGTTATATTCCTAAGTTAGCATTCAATGAAACTCTTATCTCAGTATAATATTTGCAGGGTTTTGTAGATTTAATTTCATTGTAGAAGTTAATTCTCTCAACCAGCCGCTTTCTGAGGATGCAATTCAACATATTGGCTCGATACAGCCTATAACTGCTACGAAAACTAGGCCTCAAGCTATGAGCTATGGAATTAGAATTTTGGATTTCTCAAGAGTGTGTGGGGGTTTGCATTTGAGGTTTTCTTAAATCTTGTGAAGTTAGGTGCTTGATTTTTAGTGGATGGCCGATTCACACTTTTTTTTTTTTTTTTTCATTCTATTTTTTTTATCTGAGCTATGATTTATTCCAATTCCGAGCGGCAATTTAGATGTTTTTGTGTCCTTTTCCATCGCCTGAGAGTGAGGTCTGTAGTGGGTTTCACCTAGATAACTGAACTTTGAATGGTTGTGCTGAAGTATATTGGACTCCTCATACTGCAGGAAGGGATGCTTTTGGAAATATGTGAGCTAATTTCATATATACATGATATTGCCATTTGACAGTTTTTGACTGAAATTATTTCTACAATAGGATGGAAAAATGGAGGAGAAATTTATGATGGAACTCTATTCTCAGGGACTACATCATGGAATGATTTATATTGCGGCTCTTTGAAACCAACCTTCCAGCCGAGCTTTCAAAGCTGTCCATTGTAGATGGACCTTTAACATATTATTAAAAAAAAAATTTTGAGGCACTGCTGAGAAATGTGACTCTATGCTTTTAATGTGACTGGATATCCATGATTAAATACATCAAATATTTATTTTATGTGAAAGAGAGAAATATGATTGGATACATCGAATGTTTATTCTATGATAAAGTAAAAAATTATGACTGGATACATTGAATAGTTAGTAGCAGTTAGGGGTGTAAACAAGTCGAACATGAATGGGCCCATTGCTTGTTTCTCATGTTTGGCTCGTTCGAGATTTTTAATGTTCAAAATGAGCTCGTGAATGTCTCTTATCCGCGTTTAGCTTAATTTATGTTCAAATATGTTTGTGTTAGTTCGTGTTCGTTGTGTTAGCTCGTGTTCGATTTGATTTTGAACTACACAAACTTGCATATTTTAATTATTTCAATTCGTAATAGGTCGTGTTCAATTCCATTATGATGCACAAACTTACATATTTTATTTATTTCAGACGCTAAATAAATTTTGTTTTAAAAAAATATTCCAAATTAATAAGAAATATGAATTTTTTTCACTTCCTTTTCAATAGCTTCGAATTACCGTCCATTTTGCTTCGAAAAATTCAGTGTTAAATCGAAAAAAATATTACGCTATTGATTGATATTATCCGCCTAAAAAATCAATGTAATACAACGATAATATTTTTTGTCCGATGCTTTCAGAGGCAATGTTCAACTCACGTGTGCACTAAACAAAGCTGATCTTACTGTGATGCAAAAAATGACACAATTTATTTCGTCGGAAACTTTCAACTGAAAATTGATGTAATTAGCAATACCGATCCCCGTTTTATCCGCAAAAAAAAATATGAACATAAATTAGACGTAAATTCGACAATAAAATTTTAATATCGTCAAATTTGCCTTCTATTTGCATTCGATTTGACCAATGCAAAACTATTTAGTTGTTGTAGGGTGGGTCTGCTCGACTGGAAATATCGAATTGATACACATCTCCACAGATGGTTGGATACATTCGACTGAATATATCAGTTGGATTCATTCCTGTTAGCTTTTATAATACGAGGGATTTTGGATTTATTAAAACTCTTCCATTTTAAACCCTTAAATCAACCATTTTAGAATTATGAAAGCCTGTATAGAATTAGCACCTTCAAAAAACTTATTTGCATAAAAGTATAACAAAATATCAAATTTTAATTACTCCTAAATTTATCTGCATGAAATGTAAAAGTTTCCTTCCATCAATGGATACTTGTGCCGCTCCAACCTCCATAACTTGGCAGCATTGTCTTATGTTCATATCACCATTAGTATGTCATTAAAGAAGACGTTTCCTTGCTTTCTATTACAAATTAAAAATATGGAAGCCCAATAATGTCTTAACGTTACCGATTATAAATGCATGCTACGATCCATGCTTTTATATTGTTTTTGTTCGTTTAGTGAATTAAATATATGGAAACAGTGCCTTAGCTTTGCGGGAAAAGAAGGCATAAAATGGCGAGCAGGCCTTTTTTTGTATGGACGCGTGCGCTGAAGCTGTGTTTGTATTAGATAACAGATTAAAAATTAAGAGATTTAGGGACGCCATCAAATTATATCATATTCCATCTTTTATGAGCTGCAAATCGTTCAGATTGAATACCTCCAAATGTAGAGAAAATATTAAGGTCCAATGATAAGAAGCACAAAAGCATCGAGCCAAACAAATACCTCATCACAACTATCATATTTATTAATACATCTACATAATGATTCCATGAATACAAATGGCATAAAAACTAAGAAACAATAAGCACAAAATATGCAATTAATACATTATTACTGCATCAAAACCCAACAGATGAGCAGGATCAAATCTACATAAAAATGTTGCATGCCTGCAACTACTATCCAATGTATATATTAATATATATCATCTTCGAGTCCTGACAGAGAAAGAACTGGCCCTCGACAAAGAATTCCGCTCAGCCTCAACCTTCTTCTCAAAACCATTTCCTGCGAGCCTGTTTCCTTTCTTTGATGCTTCCACCACTGCTATAATGGCCATCTCATTCACCTCTTCAAGCTCATCCTCCTTATCTCCATCTTCGTTTTTAGAGTCTAAATCGCCCATTTTGCCTTTCAGATCCATCTCTCTCAGTCCTGCAAAGCTCTGAGCTCTGTTCATCGGCACCAAAGCCTTGGAGGCGAGCCTCATCAGTTCCTCATCACTATCACTACTCTCATCAATTTCGTTCTGAATCTCTTTGCCTCTCGGATTCTCCAGGTCATGTCGGAGAGAACTCACCTTCCTGGCTCTGCAGCCGAGGTCTATAGAACTGCAGCATGAAGCTGAAGGGAATAAGCAGTTCTCTGGCTTCTGCTTGCCGGGATTGCTGGAATGATTTCTAATTCTCTCTGATTCTGATCGGTAGAGTTCTACAGCGGTTCTGGCTGCGGCTGCTGCATAGGCTGCGGACTCAAAGGCAGCTAGCGCTGCGCTTCCTGCATCCTTGTACTTCTTCTGAGCCATTATTTCGAGCTTTTCATCTTCCAGGAGGTCGTGAAGATCACAGGCGGTGCATGGTAAATCCATTGCTGCTTTGGCCTGCTGCTTCTTCCTCTGAAGGTTGGGGTTCTGAATCAACTAAATGTTTGTTAAGATTTTAGGATGTAAGAATGGATGGTGATCTGATTCGTATGAAGTTTAGGTTATCACCTCTTCAGTGTCCACGGGAGGTTCGGCTAGTTCCACCTTGATGCCTTTCTCTATGGCTATTTCTTTCGTGACTTTCGCCCTGATTTCCAGGCTTGGCTGTCTTGTAGAAAACTTCTGTACCAACTGAAAATAATAATAATAATAATAAAGAATTAAACAAATTATGATTAATATGACATACAAAACAGTGCCCAATTATTATGTATTTACATATCTGAGGTACAAATTTTGCTTTTCCTATTTATATAAAGGAAATCCTACAAATCACACGAAGAATATCATCATTTTAATGAGAAATTAGTGCATCAGGAGTTTTGATGCAGTTTTACATCTGGACTTCAATCAAGATCTGTCAGATGTACAAACAGTGCCCCAAAACTGCATGAAGAGTCTTTATGCAATAATTTTTCAATTTTAACATCTTAAAAGTGAAGTACATGCTCACTCTAGCTAACGGCATTTATGTAAAAATTAAAATTTAGGTGTTAGACATGTAAATATGTAGAAATTGTGTAATATGTATGTTAATCTTTCATTTATTTTTTTATCTAAAGGTTTATTGTTGATTTTTTTAAAAAATATGGCTTAATCATTTTGATAGAAGAAAAAGTTAATAATAATGGATCAAAAAAAAAAATTTCCTCGTGTTTGTAATCATCTTTATATATTCTTAAGAACAATTCCGAGATAAATTCTGAATGCTTTTCCTTCAGAATTTATTATCTCCGGTGGACGTATGATTAAGCAAATGATTGAACCAAGTTAAGCTTCGGTGGGACTTACTTACCTTACCACTGACGCCGCAATTATTGCGCAGCTCCGCAGCCGCAGTCGTGAATTCCTTTCCGAATCTAGACGTGAAGATGCGGCGTATCTCTCTCAGCTCCGGCAGATCACCGCACCGTGAGGCCGCAAAAGCCAATCCAGCAGCAGCCTCACGCAGCTCCTCCGGACATTCCCTGTTCCACAAAATATCACTGTAAGTCCATCTCCGCCATGAGACCGCTGCATAGAAATCAGAAATATTACTTCTGGTTGTGGAAGAGGAATGCGCGCTCTGTAAGCAGGTGGCAGTAGCTCTCCACCATGGCGAAGACATCCAGCGTATTGCGCTCTTTGATCACCATCTCCGCCTGCACATACAACGCAGAATTGACCAAGTTGAGAGAAAGGAGGAAATAATTAAAAAAGCTGAAAGCTTTGGCAAAATTGACGAACGCGGAGGAGGGCGCGATCACGGTGGCCGAGGAGGAGGAGTTGGGCTACATCAGCTTCGGCTTGGGCGCAGCGAATTTGACGCTGGGTGCGGAGGAGGGCGAGGCGGGAGACGGTGAGGCCGAGGAGTGTCTTTAGTTTCTTTATGTCACGTGAGGTTCTCCGACAGAGCGCGTAGAGGCAGCAGATCCCCATTTTTCTGCTGTTTGATGGAAGAATAGAGGAGAAGCTCCGGCTCCCCGTGCAGACCTTCAGAGGCCGTCTTTAACGTCAGGGTGGATTCCATTTTATAGATGCCAAATCAGATTGGAGGAAAACAATAAAAAAAAAATTTCTTTTTTTTTCTCAGCGTAGTGATGAGTGTGTTTTGATTGTTATACGCAGAATGAATGTATGATTGTGCAGAATGGCTCATTTTTAATCATTTTATTTTAAGTTGATTTAAATTATTTATATTAGTGATTCTTTCCATTTATTTAGATTATTTTTAGAGATAATCGCATTCAGACCACTCGACACATTGATTTTTACAAACAATTGATTTATTATTTATTAATGCTAAAAGTTTAAATTTGATAAATTTTCTTCATTTGATTGTTTGGTCTTTGCTTAGAAATTTTAAGCAAGGGTGTAAACTAGCCTAATATGAGCATCCATAGAGCCTAATCATCTTTGGCTCGTATGAAACATTTTTGTTCGAAATGAGCTCAGGAAAAATTTAATCGTGTTCAGCTCGATATAAATTTGAATTAGCTCGCCTTTGGCTCAAACTTGTAAAATGCAAAATTTTGTGAGGACGCGAGCTTAGTTTCTGTCTTAAATAGGTTCTTCGCACAAAAATGTTCCCGTCATTTCCAGTATGGGACTGACAATCGCCCTGTCGTATTTATATATATAAAGCTAATTTGAGCGACATTTGCAGGCATACCGCTCAAATCGTAAGTAATTAAGTGCATACCGCCCAAATCCTATGTATTCACATTTCTAAAACCTAAACATATATTTTTTTTAATTAGGTCGCCCAAATATTTTTTAAAAATAATTTAATTTACTATGTTTTAAATTCACATTAAAAACTAATGTACAAATTATATAAATAAATAATATTATTTAATTATTTCAAGACAAAATGAGCCCAACATGAACGAAAAATCCTTTATTTTTGTTCGGCTCATTTACAAATCAAGCTCAAAAAATTTTTAGTGTTCGACTTGCTTGCTTAATGAACGAATCGAGCACAAGCTGCTCGTGAACGTCGGGCTTTTTTTACAACCTTAATTTTGAGTCATCATATAGGGTCATGGCCAGAGCCAAGAGTTGACACGCCATAATAAATCGACGATGCATATTGTTCAATTCGATGATAAAGCTAAAAAATGACAGATAACGATGTCATGTCGTCCGATCAACGTACACACATTAAAGGTCGCCCCTCAACGTACACACATTCATGTTTATCTTGCAATCATAACACTTAGAGCGGATTGGAGCTGAAACAAGCGAAACATAGGCAAACAGAAGCAAATGGGGGTGTTGTTAGTAGGGTGGCGCTTAGGAGCCAGAAACTGTTGCCTAGGCACCAATCTCTGCTCCCTAAAACCAATCTCTACCCAGAAAATAGAAAAGACGACGCCTAGACGCCCGAACTGTCCATGCGTCGCTTCTGCACGTGCCATGGAATTATTTGACTGATTTAGATGTTTGGAAAAACACTTTTTGGCATTTCTAAGTCCTAGAATTCTCTAGGAAGGCTGAGAGGTCGTAGATAGGAGTCTAAATGTAGATGTTTACCTTTTCTAAAAAGATTGGTAAGGGGATTTTAAGAGATATCTGTAAAGGATTGTAATACCATTGCATGGACTAACATGAGACTTTGTTCAAGGAATTTCATCTTTCTTTCAAATGGAAAAAACCAAATATTTTGTCTTTATTATCTTGTACTTGTTGTAAACACTTATCTAGTGAATTTGTTTTGATTTAATGAAGTTTTTTGTTGTGTGTGACATGTGTTTTGTAAAGTAGAATTCTTGTACTTTTCTTTTGTAATTACTTTTCTTTTGTTTCTTGTACTTTTCTTTTGTAATGAATTGGATGAATGTTTAAGATGTTAGAATGCATGTTACAATAGGTTTTTCATATCATAGTGATGGTTCTTACTTCATGCTTCATGTATGTTAAAATTTATTGTAAACGCATAAGTTACGGGAGGATTGTGGCTTTAACAACTAGGAGGAACCACATTGAACTTATGGGTAAAGGAAAAGAAGTCCTAAGATTCAACGCAATGTTATGGAGATATTCGTTGATGGGTGCTAACAGGTGTTTATAGGGTGATAGGCTAGATTCCTAATCAACTTGATCTAGGGCTCTATACCTTAAATCTAAGATTAAGCCAATTAGAGGCCTATTAAGAAAAGGAGACATTAGGGTGACAGGCTGGAAGTTTCGCCTTGATAATTTTGTTATTTTAAGGAATCGACCCTACGTTAACTGAGCTACGTTATACACTCAAAAGATGGCAATTTAGATTTTTGCTCCTAATGTCACTGGCCACATTAGATTAGCATCTCATTCCTACACATTATCTAGGTCACCACAAGAGAAAGATTGTTTTACACCCCAAAATTCTCCAAATCAATTTATCTAATTAGGTTTAACTTTAGAATTAGGTTTTTATTTAGGAGTAGCTGTTAGAAAACACCTTAAATTGGCATTCCAAGCTAAGACCTGATGGTAGTATACTACAACTTAGACTAAGGGATTTCTTACCTTACTTCCTTATGGGATCGATAATCGGGACTCCATTAGAGCTCTATATTACTTGAACGATATGTATACTTGCGTAGAATCCCTAGTGTGTAAACTATGAATCAAATTTTATACTCTCCAACATATACATTTTGCACATTAATCGCCTAAAGAAATTGGGTCTAGTTTTTTGCCAAGAAGCTAAATAACTCTGTAATTGCGTATACTTGCATAAAATCCCTAGTGTATAAACTATATAACATATCCATTTTGCACAATAGCCGCCTAAAGAAGCTGGGTCAAGTTTTTGGTCAGGAAACTAAATAGCTGTGTAATTGCAAAGTGTGTCACCAAACAAAGTGTTAAAGATGGTTCCTTGCCTAGTAGCCACAAGCTCCGTGAATGGTACTACACAAATTATCACAGCAGTTAAGTCTCAATGGTTAACATCATCCGAGGTAATGACACGACCGAGTAAATGGGATAAGTACAATATTAGAGTTGAGCTGGGAGAAAATAATATCGAAATTGACTAAAATGACTATGACGAGTAATGTGACATCATAATCGGCTGAAGCAGATAAAGAACCAAAAAATAATAAAACACAATTAAAGGTCGACTGAAAGTCGTGTTTCAATTATATAATAGTTTGGTTACATGTCTTTTCATCCTGGATAGAATTTTTCACATAAAATGATTAAATTACATATAAAAAAGAAAATTTCAAAGTCTAGGAGACTTCAGACTGAAACTTGGACAATCTGACGTCTGCATTGTCGCCCTCAGACTTTTTTCTTTAAGCTAATGCAGAGGGAGCGGAGAAATGTTTTTTATTCATCTAAATCATAGTACTTTAAGTAGACCATTCTAACTCTAATGAATTGGTTGATGGCCAACTTAGTACCTATCTTCAGATGTGAGACTTGAGAGTCAAGAAAATCTTCGGGCATCTATATTGTGGCCACCTGCTCTGTCAATTTTGCATTATCTTATTTGAAAATTAGCTACCAACTCGGACGTGATCTCCAACTCTATCTTAGCCTCCTCCAATAGTACCCATGCTAAGACCTTCTGATCCTCAATTGTTATCACTCTGGCCTTTGTTTACTTTGCTTTCACCTCTACTTTCAATGCTCTTCCTTTCTCTCTCTTACTTCAAGATAGAGGGAGGAAATATGATGTGTGGCAGCGAGTCTCAACAGTTGGTATCGGTCAACTATATGGCAGAGACCTCTTGGTCGGAGGTTGTTCAAGTACTTCTATAAGCCCTCCAACCAAATAACATCAGCGATGATCGCGACATACTTCACTGTTCTAGGAGCTTTCAGGAATAAATCCCCAAACACATTTATTAAGGTGAAGTTAAAGTCCAAGCCAAGGAAGACATTCGGTTGTTCCTCTTGCAATAGACTCCAATAACCATCAATAACCATTACTCTGCTTTTGTTGCTTTTGTTTTTTTTTTTTTCTTTAGAGGCAAAGGAAGAGAGGTAACATAGTTATCAGTAGGAGCCTTGCACTTCCTCTAATGCACATCTTCTTCAGAGAATGCTGACCAATGCCCCGGGATAGATTCTGAGTCAAATTTCTTCCTCTTAAGCTAGACTTTCTTCCAAGGCCCTCACTCTCATCTCTTTAGCCAATTTAGTAGGTGACCTCGTACTGACTGGCCTTACCTCTTTCAGACAGAGTGATGAAATGAAATCTGATAAAGATGGTTGAGGTACTCCATATGTTCACGTTTAGTTTTGATGACACCCCAACCCCCCTCCCCAATCCAAGAACGCTAGGAGTTTGTTTGTCCTCTGTGCGATGGTCACTTGAATTCCCTAAGTTCATTAAAATTGATTTTTTTTCAATCAAAATTAATTTCCCGATGATAATGTTTTGAATAACAATTATTCTTTCAGAAACAATGTGCATGAGTTTCAAACCTGGTAAACTCATGGTTGTTTGATCGCTCTCTTTGACTTCTTCCTTAATCGCTTCCCTAAAAACTTTGGAAGCGACAACCTTTCTTTTCTTTGGCTTTCTCTGTGTAAGCCGAGAAATCTTCTCAGTTTGTTGTCTCTCCTCTGCCTCACCTGACGTGCCCCACAACTCTAGAGTCATGACACCAAATCATGCGGGGTGCAACACCCATTTCATTGTCATATAATCAGTATATTCAATTACTGACAGGTGCTTGCTTGCTACGGTTGACATAAATCCCAAAATCTATGGTGAGACTTCTTTCTTCTTCTTTTACGACTCTCCAATCAGTCTTGTAGTGATCCCCTAGTCTCGGCAAATATCGTAGAGGAAATGAAGTTTCCAATCTTTAATCCTGTTCTTAAGTTAGACCAAATGGAACTTCGGAGTTGATTCAAAGGCGGCATAACTGTCGGGCTTCACCTTGGAATAGAACATATAAGAAAATAACTTCTTATATCATGGGATCTCTATCCAACGACAGTATTTCACAAAGTTTATGACAATTGCAATTAAGTTTGGATTTATTTGTGAGGGATGACTTCATAATGGTT